TTGCCATATTTCCATGAGTGAGATCAAAAATATGAAAATAGTTTTTAATTTATAAATAGAAATAACATATAGAATGGTATGTTTTATATCCTTTGGAGAATGAAAGAATGTGCAGATTCTGAGTTCCGAAAGCAAATCTTCTCTGCCAATCTTGCTTGATCTGAGAAATTCTCTTTGGTGTCACTGTGTATCTAGTTTCATCTTTAGCATATTGTTTCCCACCAAGACAAGTAATGAGCCTACAAATCCAACTTGTATTTAGAAAGGTGATTCAAGTCATACAGAGGGACTCAGTGCTTCTCTCAGTGTTTTGTCTGTCTTTACTTGCGATCCAGGACACACACTTCAGAAGGACAGTAGAACAGAATATTATCACATTTCAAACAAACATTCACAAAATAGTTCAATCTTAAAACTTCTGGGGATCTTCATACTATCACATTGAATTTGATTAAATGTTAAATTAATCACAGGTAATATACAGGTACTGAATAGTTTTGTGAATAAGTAGATGATTTTGTATATTGTTCAGGTGATGTGTTTCTTATAAGAGGTTTTGATTTTCTTAGAAGTCTTCCTTTGAAGCTAAGTTAAGCCATGACTTAGAAGTTGTTTTATTTTGAAAGATAGTCTTTTGTGGATGATTGGTAAATTAATTTCACCATTTTTAAGCTATCAGAACTTGAAAATTTTTAGTGAATGCTTTTGAAATAGGTTTTTAACAGCAGTTTTATTAATTTATCATTCAAAGTTTATTTATCATTGCAGTTCATGAAGTATGGAAAAAGGGAGAGAGAATATTTGTATATATAGATATAGGAAGGAAAAGCTTTAAATCTGTTATTTATTTAGCTTATTTCTTCTACTAAAGTGAATCAGCTCTACTAATGTTTATTTGAATTTTTAGCCAATAATAATGTTATAAAACCAATTCTGGAATTTGAACTCAGTGGTGATGGTGTATAGTCTACTTGCCCTGAAACTGAAATTATTATGTCTAATGAAACAATTACAATTTTTTACTTCTGTAGACAGGCTAAAGTTCTTCAGCCTTCTTTCCTGCAGCTACAATCTGATTAGTGTTTTGCCTCATCATGTGTATAGCAGTTTCTAAAAGTTAAAAGTCAAAGGATAGTCAGTGAGTGATGTTTAATGCAAGCTGGAATATATTTATTATAGAAGTTGTGGAAATTAAAAGGTTTTCTTTCTTAATTGATGGCCATGCTTTGAATTCATTAGTGATGTTCAAGTTTGCAGCAGTGTCTTCTATGAAAGAAAACAGACTTCTTTGTTCTAAGACTATTTGAACTGAGATGCATACGCAGATTGGTTTCAAGTGAGACTTTAGTGACTTAAATATTTCTTATTTTTTACTGAGGGATATCTTTTATGTTTAAATGTCAAACATTTCCCATCCTGATTTTTTAGATAAAAAATTTGTATATTTTAATCTCTGTTCATGTTGTATACCCTGGCATACTTCATTTGAATCCTCTTTAATAGTACATGTGTTATAGCTTAAAAAAACTTGAGATTGGGAAAAGTTATGCTTTTCATTTGGTATGATAACAGATTAAAGACATCATTAATAGTTACTATTTTTCATTATATGGGTACCATATGATGATATGCATAGGACTGTTAGGTGGAAGAAAAGTTATAGAGTTTAGCTCTGTTGAAGTGAAAATGAAAAGTGTCTTTTTGGTGATAACTTAGGGTATAAAGTTAATTATTTTAAGTATTGAAAAACTTGTAAAGTTAATAAATACTGGATATTTACCTAATGGTATAATATAAAATTTATTTTGTATCTAATATTTTTGTTCTCCCGTTAAGTTAAAGAAATATATCCACATAAAATTCAAAATTAAAAGAACGTGGTCATTTCTGTTAAACCTACAAATTACAAAGTCAAATGACTATGTATGCCCTTCCTAAACCATTGAAACAATTTTTCCTTAATAGGTAAGCATTCATAACTTTGAAGATAAAGTAGTAATCTACTTTTATAAAATATTGTTTAATTGTAGACTTAAAAATGTCATTGAGCAAGAATATGAACTTTGATAGTTACTTTTAAGAGTAGATCAGATGTCACTTGTTATTGTGTCATGTCTCCGCTTGTAACTCTTCCCTTTTTTTTTTTTTTTTTTTTTTTTTGACAGGCAGAGTTAGACAGTGACAGAGAGACAGAAAGGTCTTCCTTTTCCTTTGGTTCACCCCCAAATGGCCGCTACGGCCAGTGCGCTGCGTTGAACAGAAGCCAGGAGCCAGGTGCTTCCTCCTGGTCTCCCATGCAGGTGCAGGGCCCAAGCACCTGGGCCATCCTTCACTGCCTTCCCAGGCTACAGCAGAGAGCTGGACTGGAAGAGGAGCAACCGGGACAGAATCCGGCGCCCCGACCAGGACTAGAACCTGGGGTGATGGCACCACAGGCAGATGATTAGCCAAGTGAGCCGTGGCGCTGGCCTCTGCTTGTAACTCTTCAGCAGCTCTCCACTGTCAACCTTATAAAATCCAAAGTCTTTAAATGATCTACAAGGCTCACTGCCAGCCCACCCACTCTCCCACATTGCCATATACTTGCTATTTCTTTTGCTTCATGCTGTGGTAATATCAAATTTATGTTAGTATATTGTTTCTTCCTTGAAGACCTGTGTTTGTACTGGTTTCACTATTTAGAATTTGTATTTATTTCTTCTTTGCCTACTAACATCAGTTTTTGTAAAAGTAAGCCTTTCCATAAATTGCATGCCACATCAGGCTGGATCAGAGGCCATAGCTTGAAACTTCCACAAAAAACCATATCTATATCTATGTCTATTTAGGTAGGTAGGTAGAAAGATAGATAAAGTACTCTCATGTTGTTTGGGGTCATCTCTTTATTTGGCTGACCCTTCTAGTGTGTAAGTTCTTTGAGTGTGAGTGCTCTGTATCATTTGCTGTTTCATCACCAGTATCTAACTATAATCTCTGGTGCCTATAACATATAATAGGTGAGGGGCAGCACTGCGCCTCAGTGGCTTAAAGCCTCAGCCTTCAGCACCGGCATCCCATATGGGTGCCAGTTCGAGTTCCCGCTGGTCCACTTCCAATCCAGCTCCCCGTTGATGTGCCTGGGAAAGCAACAGAGGATGGCCCAAGTGCTTGAGACCCTGCACCTACATGGGAGACCTGGAAGAAGCTCCTGGCTCCTGGCTTTGGCCTGGCTCAGTCCTGGTTGTTGCAGCCATCTGGAAGATGAACCAGTGGATGGAAGATTCTCTCTCTCTCTCTCTCTCTCTCTCTCTCTCTCCTCCTCCTCCTCCTCCTCCTCTGCCTCCTCCTCCTCCTCTCTAACTCTGCCTTTCAAATAAATAAATCAATCTTAAAAAGAAAAAAAAAACATAATAGGTGCTCAGAAGAAGTTTTGAAATTGAACCAAAAGGCTCTGCTACATGCGTTGAGTAGATCATTGTCATTTTGTACTGGACCTGTTGCAAAGATGCCCAACTTGCTTTACACTGTCTAATTTTCTCACCTTTCAACTTCATCCTACAGCTATGGTGTCATTTCTAAATCTAAAATCTGATTATGGTAACTTCCAGCTTCCCAGTAGTCTTTGACTCCTCCCAACAGTTCCATATTCATATTATGAGAAAGACAAAATGCTAACATAGTTTCCAGTGTCATGAATGATCTTAGCTTAGATTTCCAGCCTCACACTTTTACTTATCAAAGCATCCTGTCCTCAACATCGGTAAGTTCCCAGCCTGTGCACAGATTATTCTCCAAGACATGAATATTCTGTGCTTCTCCCTCAGCCTCACCTGTGTTCACATGTATAATTTCCGTTCATCCTCAGGCTTCAGCTGCAGAGTTTTCTCTGACCATTCTCCCCTCCACAAGTCTTGGCTAAATGCTTCTCTTCTGTGCTGAGGTATCACTCCATGATTACCCGTGATACTTCTTATCTAATAATACAGACTGAACTTCACTATTAACATGTCTGTATCACACATGCTATGGTAAGCTCTGTTAATAGCAGCACTAGCAGTGGTACTTGTACTGTATATATAAGCTTATTACTGTACAAAGTGAACATGACCTTGTTTTACAAATAAGAAAAATAAGCCAGAGATGAAATTCCTTCCCAAACCAATGAGCTAATAAATAGCCAAAGTAGGATTCTGACCCAGGTCTTTCTGACTGAGATCATGGCCCAACAAGTAAATTATGTTACCTCTTCAGAACTGTTCTTAGGGTTTACCATTGTTTATCACACCTTATCACACTGATTGGCCTAGAATACACACTTAATCAATATCAACTGAATGAATAAATGATTGGTATAAACAATTTGATGAAATAATGAAGACTTGAAAGTGGATTTTTGTATATAAATCAAATTGTCATCATAGCAGTGTTTAATGAGGAAAGTCCTTAGTGGGTTTATGATTTTTTAAAACTCAGAAAAGAAGCAGAAGGAGCCATGGAGACATGAGTCAGAGGATGACTCCAAAGAGAAGAGTGACAGTATATATAAAAATATACATATAGTAAGAATCAACTATTTTTATATCAATGAAAACACATCACTTCCCTACTTTTAACATCCTGTGTCTGATATTTATTAATTATTAGAGTAGCGAAATGAAAGGTTAAAGATTTAGCATGGAAATGTGTTCAGCCTATTTTTAGTGGATGTCTCTTCATGGAACACTGACCAAATAGAAAAGCTTTCCTTTAGTGTTTCTTCCACATCTCACCCAAGTTATTCAGATTGGAAACAGAGTATGTGTAGTCATTCTTTTAGATGACTTTGTAGAAAAAGAGGAAAAAAATAAGTGTATGGTACTCGTGGATAAATAATTCTATTGTTATAGAATAAGCAATTCACTTTTAGCCTGAATTTAGTTAATATGCTTTTTACACGGCAGTGGTGATTGTTTTATGGAACTGATTCATTCTAAGACCTAACAAAGCAGGTAAATGTTAAACACGGGGTTGTATTCATGCAGGAGAATTTCACACTACTGAGGCTGAAGCTAGCTGTCAGAGTTTGACTCAGATATATGCATTGCCTGAAATTCCTCGAGATCAAAATGCTGCAGAATCATGGGAAACCTTGGAAGCGGTATGTTAAAAATGAATTTCCTTTTGGTAGCTGTGAGGCATAAAAGTAAGTAACTTCCTCTTTCTCTCTTTTTAAGGATTTAATTGAACTTAGCCAACTGGTCACTGATTTCTCTCTCCTAGTGAATGTAAGTAACTGTTTTTGGCTCAAAATTGTTATTAGAATGAGAGGCTTTTATCAATCACTAGGCCTTTGATTAGAATTTTCATAGAGTTTACAATTTTTAAAGTTACATATTTTAAAGACTTTATTGAGCTAAGGATAAAAATCTAACAGTCTTCTAATTCCAGATTAAGTCTACAAACATTTTTTAAGAAGTTGTTAAATAAAAGGCACTGTGTTGGATGCTTGGCATGGTAGGGAGGGCTGTGACAAGGTTGGATAGAGAAATAAATGAAGCCTGCTATCTGCCCCCAGGGATTCTCCGGTGGGTAAAGACATACTTGGATCCCAACAACTGAATTTTTAAGCATGATGACTAAATGTAAAAAGTAAGGTAGGAAGAGAAGTATTACTAGCTCCAAGGAAAATTGTTTAGTTCCAATGGAGGAAGGCAGGAGTTGTGAGGTGGAGACATTAGGAATAACCCCACACAGGCAGATAGTATTTGCATAAGCCTTGAGAGGTGAGTATTCACAGGTGGGAGTGAGTTCACAACAGGTGAACAAAAACATGGAGTAGGGAAGTATATGGCCTGTTCAAGAATGATGAGTACTGCAGTATAACCAATGCATAGGGTAGCAGATTGTGATGGCATTAATGCCATACAGAAGAATTTGGACTTTGCTTTGTAGGCATTAGGAGCCCATTAAGATTTTTGTACAGGTAAGAGTCATGTAATCCAGTCTATGCTTTAGAGATTTCACTGTTGGCTGTGAATATTGACTGAAAAAAAAGCAGAGGTCATAGGAAGGGATGACTACTTAGGAATCTATTGCATGAGTTTAACCTGGAGCCATGGCAGTAAAGCTAAAAATCAACTGGAAAGTATTTCTGGGATAGACCTAGCAGAAATTGGAGAAGACATTGTCAAAAATAAGAAACAATAAGGCTTTCTTCTGCATAATCAGGTACCAATGCTACTGCTAACACATAATGGGAAAAGTAGTTTTGTTCGGAAAGAAAGAATACATTTTCTATCATTTTTCCAAAGAGTTATTATTTTACCTACCAGGAATTATGGGAAAGCAAGGTATGAGTTGTGTGGGTGTTTGTGTATATACATACATACAGACAGATGTACATATCAATACAGGCTAAGTCTGTTTGTGCTTCTGTTTCTGTTCTTTGTTCTTGATCAAACCATGCTTTGGATGTAGCCCATCTTTACTTATGGTTTCTGTGGGGAGCAACTCGGACTAGACTAAGTTACTGGAATTAAGACTTATTCTATGCATCTGCTCTCCCACAATATGGCGCTGGGAGAGGAGAAAACAGCTTCTACACAGCTGCCTCCAGTTCAGCCAATAAACTGTAGGACTTGCTCCTGATTGGAGGAGAGCAGCGTACTCGGCGTGTGGGCAGCCGAGTTAGGATTGGCGGAGGAGGACTATAAAGGAGGAGAGAGACGGCATGCACGGGGAACATCTAAGGGGAACATCTAAGGGGAACACCTGTGCAGACCCCGAGAGAGCCGGCCGGCTGTGTGCCGCTCCCCTGCGGAAGTGGGGAAAGTGGCCAGGGGGAACCGCCCTTCCACAGAGGTGGAAGGGACGGCAGCCAACCTGGGAAGAACCAGCAGCAAACCCGGGGAGGGCCGAGCAGACGAAAGAACAGCGCAGGGTTTAGTGTCGTTCCTCCACGAAGAGGGGGGGCGACAGTTTCCTTGATAGCTCTTTTTTTTTTTTAAAAAAGATTTATTTTACTTATTTGAAAGGCAGAGTTACAGAGGGAGAGAAAGAGGGAGGAAGGGAAGGAGAGACAGACTTCCACTAGTTCACTCCCAGAATGGCTGCAATGGCCAGGGCTGGGCCAGGCCAAAGCCAGGAGCCAGGAGCTTCTTCCTAGTCTCCTACGTGGATGCAGGGGCCCAAGCAGTTGGGCCATCTTCTGCTGCTTTCCAAGGCACATTAAAAGGGAACTGGATCAGAAATAGAGCAGCCAGGACCTGAACCAGCACCCATATGGAATGCTAGCACTGCAGAATTGTAATGGGAAGGGATTTAAAAGATCACTAATTCCTCTATTAATCCAATTTCTCTACTCTTGTCCCAACTTTTCAAATTATCTTTTAGCCTCTTTTTAAATAATTACAGTGCAGGGATATTTGATAATTCAGTCCTTCTGTTTGGAGGTTCTAATTCTTAGAAGTTCTTCCTTATGTAAACTCTGCCCTATAATAACTTCTCTTTGGCACTTTTGCTGGCTACAACCACATACTTAACAAGTTTTTTCTTTTTTCATATATAAGTTTTTCAAGGTGTTGAGACAAATATCGTTATTCCTAACCCTATTCCACCCTTGATTCTTTTGTGTTCCTTCTGCCAATTTGATTTCTAGGTTTTGCAATACTAGCCCTTGGCTCTGCTTCTATTCTAGTTAGTGGATATTTTCTTGAAATGTGATGCCTAAAATTGAATGCACTAAATTATTTGAATTGTTTCTGATGCCTCTAAGTTAGAAAAAGCAAAATGAAGTCCCAAGTTTAGGTATCTGGACAATCTATTCATATATTTGAATGTAGAAGAGGATGATAAAACAAGAATCCCAAAGCATCTGTTGTTTTTAGAATAAGGATGTATTCAATTATTAAAACAAATAATCTCAGCCTCCTGCAGTTTATAAAATGTGTGCATATGATTATGTAAATATATAATTTGCCATTAGTCATAATACTATAGTACACTAAAATATGTTTTAATGTATATAAATTATGTATCAATAATTGATTCAAAAAATAAACATGTACAAAGTTCTCCTCAAAATAAATGTATCTCCTTCCCAGTCAGGTAGGCACATGAAAGAAAAATTAAGGGTGAACGGTCATTTAACAGTTATATGTTTCATTAGGTTATATAAGCAGCACATAACCTCAGCCTCAGGAAGATTTGTGCAGGAATATTATGGCCCTAGCTCTATACAAATGCCCTATTTATAACAATCTGTGTAAGGACATGAGGCAGAATGCTATTTGGCAAAAGCTCAAAGGAGAACCCCTGATTATTATTCCTAGGATGACTGAGTTCTCATGATCGCATGGCCAAGGACTCACAGAAGCTCCATTTAGGTATAGAATGACCTGGGAACATGACCAGAGTGACCACATCCTCTTATTATCATCACATGGATGTGATAGTATCTAGGCAAATTAACCATTCATTTAAGAAGCACATTCTATGTACATATCTCTATGATAAGCTCAGTAAGGAATTGAGAATAGTGTAAAAAAGAACCTACAAGATAGTGATAATGATTGTAAAACATTATGAATCTATTTATTATACAAATTATACACATAAGATAGTTAAAATTATGAATTTGTGATACATATATTTTATCACAACAGAAAAAACTTACAAAGCCAATGAAAAATCAATATATGGCCAATAAATGTTATTGAATTAATATCTACCTTATTCCATTTTTTTTCAACTTTTATTGCTCAAGAGTCCCCTTTTCTTATAATTTTGTAACCAGCCCTATTTCTAGTGAAGGAGGATTTAAAGAACCTTGGGCCAGTAGGTAAACAGCGTATCACCCTTGCTGCTGATCTTGCCTTTTTTTTTTTTTTTTTTTTGACAGGCAGAGTGGACAGTGAGAGAGAGAGACAGAGAGAAAGGTCTTCCTTTGCCATTGGTTCACCCTCCAATGGCCGCCGTGGCCAGCGCATCGAGCTGATCCGAAGGCAGGAGCCAGGTGCTTCTCCTGGTCTCCCATGGGGTGCAGGGCCCAAGCACTTGGGCCATCCTCCACTGCACTCCCGGGCCACAGCAGAGAGCTGGCCTGGAAGAGGGGCAACCAGGACAGAATCCGGCGCCCCGACCAGGACTAGAACCTGCTGTGCCGGTGCCACAAGGCAGAGGATTAGCCTAGTGAGCCATGGCGCCGGCCATGATCTTGCTTTGATTTCTATGTTTTGCCATAGTCCCTGTGACTTTTGAAATCCAATTTTATTCTGGATGCATAAAAACTGGGATGCAGTGAACTAGATAAGATTCCCCCAGTTGTTACCTATGTGATTCTCTGAAGTTATTCAACAACATTGTCAAATATGAGATAATGTCTGTTAGTTTCCATCCTCTTCCCTTCCAGTGACCTCAGCTGCATTCCTGTTTTTGTCTTTCTTTAATTCCCTCTTTGGTTCCTTACATAAAATTCTGTTTTTGCCACCACCATTTAGTCTCTTTTCTACTACTGAATACTCTGATGTCAGCATCCTTCTTATGTACTCTGTTTATGGCTTACTTTGGGCCTATAATGCCTGTATGTCATAGAGTTTGATGTTTGTTTCTGAGCTTATATATATATATATATATATATATATATAACATAATTATGTATATATATTTGCATATGATCTGGTCATATATATGTGAAATTGCATATGATTAAGGAATGTATATAACATAACAATAGTGGTTTAGAACCAGGATAGCTCTATTTTGACTGGATTGATCAGAATCTAAGACTAGAGGTTGGTCTTAAAATGTGGCTAGAACTTAGGAAGAAATAAATTAAAATACCTGGAGTATTATTTGGCATTATCTTCTTAAAGAAGCTCATAGCTGGGGCTGGCACTGTGGCGCAGTAGGTTAATACTCTACTTGTGGCGCCAGCATCCCATATGGGCACCGGTTCTAGTCTTGGCTGCTCCTCTTCCGATCCAGCTCTCTGCTATGGCCTGGGATAGCACTGGAAGATGGCCTGAGTGCTTGGGCCCCTGCACCCACATGGGAGACCTGGAAGAAGCTCCTGGCTCCTGGCTTTGGCTTGGCGCAGCTCCGGCCATTGAGGCCATTTAGGGAGTGAACCAGCGGTCGGAAGACCTTTCCCTCTGCCTCTTCCTCTCACTGTCTGTAACTCTACCTCTCAAATAAATAAATTTTAAAAAATCTAAAAAAAAAAGTTCATAGCTTTCCAAGAATATGAATAAAGCTATATAGCCACTATCAAAACTTTCCAAGGAAG